TGAAACAATCGGTATTGTATAAGATTTTCTGGTCTATTTGTCTGTTTGGGAGAATACATCCCGCCTGTAGATGGCGATATAGCGAGAAACATGTAAGGTTGCCGATACTAGAGCTGCGTCTCAAATCGTCTGAGTACGCTGATTTCACTCAGCCGTTATTTTGAAATCGAAAGCGAGGCTCCGGTGGGAAGTAAACCGGAAGTGCCGCCTTTAATCATAGGAGAGTCGCGAATGCGATGGCGTATTGTTGTGTTTAATGTAGAAATTACATTAAGTTAATTCTAAAACAGTTATTCTAAAACAGTACATACATTTCTTTCATACTTTAGACTATATACTACGGAAGCCCTGAACCACAACGTAAGATAAAAAAAAATCTGTAAAAAATAAAATAAAAATTCTAATTAAATTTCGACTTTAACCTCGAAATGTTTCGACTTTAACCTCGAAATGTTTCGACTTTAACCTCGAAATGTTTCGACTTTAACCTCGAAATGTTTCGACTTTAACCTCGAAATGTTTCGACTTTAACCTCGAAATGTTTCGACTTTAACCTCGAAATGTTTCGACTTTAACCTCGAAATGTTTCGACTTTAACCTCGAAATGTTTCGACTTTAACCTCGAAATGTTTCGACTTTAACCTCGAAATGTTTCGACTTTAACCTCGAAATGTTTCGACTTTAACCTCGAAATGCTAGATTTTTTTTTTTTTTTTTTTTTTTTTTTTTTTTTTTTTGCGGTTCAGGGCTTCCGTAAAATACAGTGAAATTCATTTATAAATAAAATTATTTTTTATATATAATTCAGAACGTAAAAAAAACGCAGGAACGAACTATATACATGTCCTAGATTGGATATTAACATCCAATAGTGTAAATCGCGGCAGCAGCTTCATGTTGGTAGTCCGAGGCACTGTTGTCTATCTGTACTTCCGGGGTTCTTCCCACCGGAGCCTCGCTTTCCATTTCAAAATGGCGGCTGCGTGAAATCAGCGTGTAGGGCTGTGCTTAAATCCAACTTTTATGCCCTTCTCTTGCTAACTTCCCTCCGTCTCGTTCACTCGGATGTACGTCTTTGCCATTGGAGGAACACTTGAAATGTGTTTAAATGGAACACCTTAAGCTCTTGATAACTGGAGTCTGCAATGGAGCTGATTATTTATTTACAGTTATTTTCCTTATGAATTTGTTTTATGCACAATTCTAAAGGCCTGTATGTATGCTTGGAATGTTGAAGAAAATATATTTAAAATTACACAAGCAAAAATAACAATACCATAAACTAGAACTGTTTAGAAAAAACAGTCAGCTTAAGGTAGCTACAAGTATTAAATGCAGTTCAAATGTAAAAATAACTCCAATATCATACACTAGATGTGTGCGGGCTGTAATAAAATATGGCAATATTTTATAAAATATGTTACAAATAAAGATTAAATATGAGTCAACGATCAAGGACAAAAGGTAAAGGAAAGTGGGGAAGCAAAGAGAGAGTGGGAAGAGCGAAAGGAAGTTGAAAACGACAACAAGGCGGAGGAGTGAAACGAAGAACATCTTTCTCTCTGACTGTAGATCCTGCAACAGCCGGCACTCTATAAATGGAAAATGACTTCATCCTAACACACACACACACACTTCCTTCTCCCTCTCCCTTTTCATCCCTTGCTCCTCTCCTCACCTCTTTCCATTAATCTAATAAAATGGTCATCCAATCTCCTGCAGATGAAATGGAGGTTTCTGGATGTTCATTGGAGAGAAAGACCATTATGCATCAATTCTTTTGCAGTCTACAAGAGGAAAACCTGCATTTCTGGAAGCTAAAAGAAGGTTTTTTTTGTCGTTTTTTATTTATTTTGAATCATAACATTTCAGCACTGCAAAATTTGGACACTCAATATATTGGACATTTTGGTCACTTTAGATTAGGATCCAATTCTCACTATTAACTATGATTTTTGCCTCAATAAACTCCTAATTACTGCTTATTAATAGTTATTAAGGTGGTTAAATTTAGGTATTGGGTAGGATTAAGGGGATAAAGATTATGGTCATGCAGAATAAGGCATTAATACATGCTTTATAAATACTAATAAACAGCCAATATCCTAGTAGACTTTAGACTTAGACTTTACTTTACCGACATTTTTCTATTTTCATGCGTTATGCCAATTAACGTACACTTGCATCACTGGTAGTTCCTGTTGTGTTGGGTTAGACCCTACTCTGAAGTAGGAGCTTATTTTGATTTTTAAAGGTGTTCCTGTGACTAAAATCGTTCCCAGTTCCTGAGGTGTGAACACGCCAAAAAGCGGGAACTTCCACCAGTAGTTATATGAACTATGAAAACGTTCCTCCGGTGTGAAAGCCCCTTATATGGTTCATCTCCCTCTTTTAATGCAAGTCAATAGGATGTTTTTGCCCACTGGTGTAACGTGGTCATTGTGCTGCTTGATTATCATATTCATATACTGTGGTATTAACCCTGTAAAGCATATTTGATACATAAGGCCTCTAAATAATCAATATGATCAAAACATTGCCTTAAACATGTTGTACATGCCTTCTGTCATCTGACTGATAGTTTATACTTTTTTATCAAGTTAAAAGACTTTAAGTATAATTACTTAAATTACCCCTTTTTTGCTGTGAAATCATCACTGATTTTTATAAAGTAAACATAAGAATAACTTAGATATCGTTAGTAATATTTAGGTTTACTTGGTTGTCCATACATAATTTTATAGAAATGTTAAAATGTAAGTATCAAGTAAAATGTAAGATGAAATCTAAAAAAATTCTATATGGATATTAATCAAGTAATCCTAAGTGGCTTCAGTCCAGTAAGTTCATCGTGAAATATAACTAACGATATCAAAGTTATTCTTATGTTTACTTTATAAAAATCAGTGATGATCAGCATGCTTTTGAGGAATGTTTATTTGTACATTTCTCAATTGCAAGCACAGAGCTTTTATCATAGAACTAAGCTTTTAAATATCATCTTACTAAGACATATTATTGGAAGATGTAGAGTGACAACTAATATTTATATGCACTTTTTGTAAGTATCTGATTTATTTACATCAAGCTATCAAAATTTCATGTAACCTTTTGGCCATATAAATATCAGCAACCGTGCCATATTGCATATTTTTGCTCAGTTTGGGGCTGTTTTTTTTCCTCCTCAAGAATGAGCTCCATATTCACTATATCATAAAATTCTGATGTATCAAATACGATTTTTATCAAAAGTCAAATATTACTTTTTTTTTATTAATAATTTGCCTAAAGGTTCAATAAACTGTTCCATTAAAAAAAAAAAGATTTTTCTGACTATTACTACTAATAAAAACTATTCATTTATTTGTATTATTCTGACCTTCACAGGGTTAAATGTTACCGAAAGGTATTCCAAAGAATCTGGTAAGGGGCCCCTGCGAGATGAGACAGATTGTGTTTGTAATTCCAGCGGGCTGGTCTGCAGCCAGTGTTTCCCATGAGTGTTCCAGTTCCTGTGCCATGCAAGCGGGAGTCACTGTTCTGCAGTCCAAAAGGTGGCGAGCTCCTGATGACGTCACACACTGGCATCGCTCAGCTCGGGCCTTCTGGAGCAGTCTGAGGAGTGCCAAAGACACAGCCGGGGTCCAGGGCCATGGCTATGAGGGTCAGCGGGTGCGCTTCGGCCCGGCTCCAGCGCACCGTGCTCACGGGTCAGGCTTTTAGAAACCAATCCAAACACTCGCATTCAAAGCATTCATGCTACTGTATTGACCTGATCCAAGACCAGGATTACAAAAACATTTACAAATAATTTAAATTTAACTATTTGAAAAATGCCAGAAAAGAAGAATATATATATATATATATATTAGTGCTGTCAAACGATTAAAATATTTAATCACGATTAATCGCATTAATGTCATAGTTAACTCGCGATTAATCGCACATTTTTATCTATTCTAAATGTCTCTTGATTTCTTTTTGTCTCAGTATTTTTTCTCATTTTAAAGCTCTTATCAACATGGAAAAGTGGATCGGCTTGCTTTGTGCAAATGTTTTTTATTGAAAACAACATTGGCATATACGGTGTTCAATTTCACACTAACATTCTCACTTGGAGCAAATAATCTCTCACACAATGTAACACTGTCCATCAATGAAAGGGTGAAAGAAATACTGAAGAGGTCCTGATATTGACGAGGGGGCGGAGAATTCGCATGTGTGTGTGTGTGTGCTTGGCCATCAAGTGGTATTTCAGACTGGACGTGCTGCGATGATGATAGCTCAGTTCACAACGACAAAACACACAGATCACTTTGGTCTTGTCAATGGAACCATTTGGCAACTTTTTAAAAGTAAACTTTCCATTCAGAATCTTATTGGCATCCATTTCGGCGTCTCGCGCTCGTCATCCACTCAAAACGTAACGTTAACCTACTATTTGGCCGGCTCGCAAGCCCAAACGAGTGTATGCGGCGTCGTGCCTGTTGTTGTTTCCGGTCTAGCTAGATCCGGTTGCGCTTTGGTCGACGAAGCAACAAAACGTCCTCGCGCGGCGCAAGCCATTGAAATAAATGGGTTTCATAGCGCAGCGCCGCGCCGTGCATGCCGCGTCCTGTTGCAAAAGCATGTGAAAAAAAAATACAAAGTTTGCTAGGCCAAAAAGACCGTTAATCGAGCGATAAAACAATTGACGCCGTTAAAATGGGTTTGCGTTAACGCCGTTAATAACACGTTTTACATAAGCAATGCTTCTATCGCTTGTTTCTGCTTCTTTACCTGTGTTTTGATCAGGAGATTCTGTTCTCTTTCAGAAGATGTGTAATAGCACCCCCTACACGTATAACAGTGAAAACACGGATTGCGGGAAAACTCAATGGCGGGGAAAGAGTTAACGTGTTCTGTAAGTGTGCTTTAAGTGTCTGAATTCTTTTGTTTTGTTTTGTTTGGGTCACTGTATGAAAAAAAACAGTTTGTTTGTTTTCTTTTGAAACACTCACCCGAATCTTGATAGTCCTCGTTTTCCCTCCACAGTTCTTTTTTAGAAGCATTTTCTGAAGCAAAGAGCAGAAAGGAGAAAATATGGTTAAAAGGAATGACATAAACCTTCCATAAGTCTCACATGTTGTCTATGCACAGCCGAACTCCACACACCAGCTTCAACACACACACACCGAGGAACGAGTTTCCATATTGTCAGTGTAAACATTTACTGCTTTTTTGCCCTTGAGCTGTTCTGGAAGATCCCTGGAAGCTCTGGGCCACTGTGGCTACCCAAACTAATGGGTCTTTTATGTAACAGAGCAAAACATCCTGTGGGCCGCCCTTTCAGGACAAACGTGGAACTCAGTTTAGCACTAACAGTAGAGTTCTGGGTAAAGAAAGCAAACAGAGGCAGCGTGACTCAATAATAGCAGAGGTTAACTCGGATTCTTTTCAGGACAAAGTCTAAGCGGTTCATTACAGTACTTCTGCTTAAAGATTACAATACATTTATGATTTTAAAAAAAACTACAGGCAATGATAAAGGAATAATTTGGCCAAAATTAAAATACCCTCATTTCAAACCATGTGACTTTCTTTTTTGTGTGGAACAAAACAAGGAGATATTTAGAAGAATGTCCAGACTGCACAGGGACCGAGACTGTGAAGCACAAAAACTGACAAACGTGCAGTTCATAAAAAGTAATCCAAATGACTCTTTGGATTAAATGATATTCCGAGTCTTTAACTAGAGATGCTCCAGTCACCCGGCCATCGATCGGAACCGGACGCTTTTTCTCCAAACATACGTTTTTGGTTTTATTTTGGCCGATCTCTGTTCCAGACTTGCAGACAAACTGCATTGCAATCATTTCCCAAAATGTCATTTGTGTGGATTTTTATGAATGTATCTGTCTTCAGAAAAGTTTCAATGGCATTTTCTTTTCCCCTGACCTCCGTATAAAGCAGTGTTTTATAAGCGCAGAGCTGCTAACCCTTTCAGAAGCGCCACCTACTGTCACAGACTGAATTAGCATTTTCTTTCAGCCTGTCTGCTGTTTTTGTTTTGTGCAGGTATGTGTTTTATGTAGCAATTTCATAAAGCTAAAATGAGACTATTCTCCCTGTGCTTTAAATATCGTTTCAATAGAATTTAAATCAAAAACAACTGCTCAATTGTGACAGCGGTTGCCTCAAATGTCAAATGGCTACAGCTATTTGTTTGTTTGTTTAAGGCCAGTTTGGCCTGTAGTAGAGCACAAACAACAAATACATTTGCTTAAAGAAGAAAAAACCCACAACCGGTATCGGAACCCATTTGCTTGTAAAAATTAAATAAAGAATTTTCTTTAAAAAACCAGCAATAGGAATTGGCCATGAAAATTATGATTGGTGCATCCCTATCTTTAAGTCATTAATCACTGAACATATACACTCACCGGCCACTTTATTAGGTACACCTGTCCAACTGCTCGTTAACACTTAATTTCTAAGCAGCCAATCACATGGCGGCAACTCAGTGCATTTAGGCATGTAGACATGGTCAAGACAATCTCCTGCAGTTCAAACCGAGCATCAGTATGGGGAAGAAAGGTGATTTGAGTGACTTTGAACGTGGCATGATTGTTGGTGCCAGAAGGGCTGGTCTGAGTATTTCAGAAACTGCTAATCTACTGGGATTTTCACGCACAACCATCTCTAGGGTTTACAGAGAATGGTCCGAAAAAGAAAAAACATCCAGTGAGCGGCAGTTCTGTGGGCGGAAATGCCTTGTTGATGCCAGAGGTCAGAGGAGAATGGCCAGACTGGTTCGAGCTGATAGAAGGGCAACAGTGACTGAAATAACCACTCGTTACAACCGAGGTATGCAGCAAAGCATTTGTGAAGCCACAACACGCACAACCTTGAGGCGGATGGGCTACAACAGCAGAAGACTCCACCGGGTACCACTCATCTCCACTACAAATAGGAAAAAGAGGCTACAATTTGCAAGAGCTCACCAAAATTGAACAGTTGAAGACTGGAAAAATGTTGCCTGGTCTGATGAGTCTCGATTTCTGTTGAGACATTCAGATGTTAGAGTCAGAATTTGGCGTAAACAGAATGAGAACATGGAACCATCATGCCTTGTTACCACTGTGCAGGCTGGTGGTGGTGGTGTAATGGTGTGGGGGATGTTTTCCTGGCACACTTTAGGCCCCTTAGTGCCAATTGGGCATCGTTTAAATGCCACGGCCTACCTGAGCATTGTTTCTGACCATGTCCATCCCTTTATGGCCACCATGTACCCATCCTCTGATGGCTACTTCCACCATGTCACAAAGCTCTAATCATTTCAAATTGGTTTCTTGAACATGACAATGAGTTCACTGTACTAAAATGGCCTCCACAGTCACCAGATCTCAACCCAATAGAGCATCTTTGGGATGTGGTGGAACGGGAGATTCGCATCATGGATGTGCAGCCGACAAATCTGCGGCAACTGTGTGATGCCATCATGTCAATATGGACCAAACTCCCTGAGGAATGCTTCCAGCACCTTGTTGAATCTATGCCACGAAGAATTGAGGCAGTTCTGAAGGCAAAAGGGGGTCCAACCCGTTACTAGCATGGGGTACCTAATAAAGTGGCCGGTGAGTGTATATACATACATACACGTCATGCGTCTATGACAACACACCATAAATGACAACAGAAATAGGTATAATGCCCCTTTTTACAATATGTAAACAACTACTCTTCCTCTTCTCAACAGGGACTGTGTGTTCCCGGGGGCGGGGTTTATGTACATTTTAGGGTTAGTGATGTCACTAACCCGGGAGGAATGTCGACATTTGTTGTAGTCCTTAAAAAAACGATTTCTTTAAAAGCAAATATCTTCCTTTGAGCGTTGTAACTTTGCAGATGTTGTTTATCCTCAAACAGCAACATTACACACTAACTAAAGTTAGAAAAGTGAAATCATAATCAACCACCCCTTTAACTTAGAGAGCATTAAAAAACATTAAGGACAGGGTTTTTCATTAAGGTAAAAACAACCAGCTTCAAAGTTTATATATTATAATAAATTCATGGCAAAAACCTATAGGCAATGACAGATTAATGCACATTTCAAGCAGTCTCTTTGTTCTACAAGGGAAACTCCCAGGAATTGTCAAATTTGTCCAGATCTGCGTGACTGGAAGGCAGCCATGGTTAAAGCCCGGGTGAAGTCTGAAATGAGCTCGGCCTCATTTCAAAGTTCCCAAAAAAGGAGATAATGTTTGTCAAGCTCACTCAACCATGGCGGGCAGCATTTAGACATCTGTCAGACAGACCATTCATTTCGCTTGAACAATAGCTGGACCCCTGCGTTTGAGATTTAAGCAACTGCATATGTGCAGGAATGGATTAGTTGGTAAGGATTAATAATGAAAAACTAACACGACTGTCGCCCAAATGTGGCTCAACGTATTAACATAACAGCTGCCGTATATAATTAAATGTGTGATGCATAGTAGAGTGAGGCTGGACATGGATTATTTCATGTTTAGTACTAAAGGCAATAATGACGACTTATTACGTTTGATTTAAAGTGCTTTTTTGAATATTACCTTTCATGCAGTGTGTAATATAGTTGTTGGTGAATGTAAAATGTCTGGCAAAGTTTTAAAGATCAAAGCGCACGACAAATAACCGCATTGTCTCCTATAAGAAATAATTGATTCTGAACCGCCGTAACGAGTCGTCAGCAATTCCAGTCTCACTTCCTGTTACAAACCTACGTAACAATGTAACAAATTTGCATAAAGCCAGCCTGTGGTCTTCATTGGCTGCCTGCAAATGTCTACTTTGCCCCGCCCTCAAACACTGTAGTTGTAGCTGAGACTGGAAGAGTTAATACAGAAAAAACAACGCCAACGTTACTGTTCGTTTCGAACAGGAGCCAAAATTCAGATATGATAATGGCCGTTTAGTTTCCGAAACGCGCTGTAAGCGGTAGACCAATCAAAACAGACTGGGCCGTTTAACCAATCAGAGCAGAGCGGGCTCACGGAAAAGAGGGGTTTAGAGAGACTGAATCTTCAAACTAACAGTTTTCAGACTCTTTGAGAAATGAGGTAGTGTGCAATGTATTTTATGAGAAAATTAAAGTTTTTTTTTTACCTTGGATGCGTGTAAAACTATTGTAGGAGACTGAAAATGAAATAGGAACCTTTAAAATAGCATATTGGGGCACTTTAACAGAGTTGAAGCAAAATGAGCTTTTAGCAGTTAACTTGAGTAGTCTCCCACATTTTGTTTTTCCATCACCACCTCCCATTCCACTTGACCGAGCACACACACACAGTGGACTCAGAGAGTCATATGGTCCTCACAGGCCTCTTCTCTCTCTGTACTCGTCTTTTGGCTCTTTACTTCTCCACGTGTCCTTTGTTTTAACCTGGCACAATCTGGCCTGTATATTTGAACACCTGAAGACAAAACTACTAGGTTAAAACTACAAGGTTTTTTCCCACTTTGCCGTTTCATTCACTCAGAGATTCAGGCTTTTGTTCAGAGTGAGGGAGGGGGGCTGACATCTGTCATCCTCTCTTTCTCTCTGGAGGTGGCGGGCACAAAGCCCTGGAGCACATGGACTTGTCTGAGTAAGTGTAGTTTCGTGCATTTGTCTTGCATTGTTTTCAAATTCAGCCATTGAGTTGACAAGGACTGTTGGTCTGGAACGAAGAGATTTTACATCAGAAAGTATTCCAAGAGGTTCTTTTGGGGGGAAATATAGTAACTTCACTTTTCAGAGACTAAGGTTTTTTGCTGGCTATATAAAGTCAGTTCAGTTCCCCTCAAGTTTACACAGGTGTCCTAGCATAGTGACCACAGTTTCCCCTACTTTTTGAGAACCAGAAAGTTTCCAAATACTTTTGTCCTAATTGAACAATATCCATTGTTAAAACCTAACCTTTTGTGAATGTTTTGCTTGATAAGTGAGCTCGCACATTTTTTTTCTTTGAAGTAAATTCCACTTGATCTAATATTTTGTTTCTAGTGCAATGATATTCACATGTTTTCAAGTGTTATTTAAGTTTCAAAATATTTTTTGGGCCACTGTTTAAATGGCTGTGAGTAATAAAAAGACTGCATTGATACAGTGATACAATGGTGCATCTGATCATGGACACAATGGATTTTTAAAAAAGCAGAAGACAATGATGAAAACCGAAAATTCAAAGAAGAAAGACCAAAAAGGCTCATTCCTTAAGGGGTGCTGACACTGATAAGTAGGGCTTTAGATTTGGGGGGGGAAATCAAATTGCAATGTTTCAGAGAAAAATTACATTCTTGTTGACTGTGATTTTGCTAATAATGCTTTCCTGGATGTACACTCACCTAAAGGATTATTAGGAACACCTGTTCAATTTCTCATTAATGCCAATATCTAATCAACCAATCACATGGCAGTTGCTTCAATGCATTTAGGGGTGTGGTCCTGGTCAAGACAATCTCCTGAACTCCAAACTGAATGTCAGAATGGGAAAGAAATGTGATTTAAGCAATTTTGAGCGTGGCATGGTTGTCGGTGCCAGACGGGCCGGTCTGAGTATTTCACAATCTGCTCAGTTACTGGGATTTTTACGCACAACCATTTCTAGGGTTTACAAAGAATGGTGTGAAAAGGGAAAAACGTCCAGTATGCGGCAGTCCTGTGGGCGAAAATGCCTTGTTGATGCCAGAGGTCAGAGGAGAATGGGCCGACTGATTCAAGCTGATAGAAGAGCAACTTTGACTGAAATAACCACTCGTTACAACCGAGGTATGCAGCAAAGCATTTGTGAAGCCACAACACGCACAACCTTGAGGCGGATGGGCTACAACAGCAGAAGACCCCACCGGGTACCACTCATCTCCACTACAAATAGGAAAAAGAGGCTACAATTTGCAAGAGCTCACCAAAATTGGACAGTTGAAGACTGGAAAAATGTTGCCTGGTCTGATGAGTCTCGATTTCTGTTGAGACATTCAGATGGTAGAGTCAGAATTTGGCGTAAACAGAATTAGAACATGGATCCATCATGCCTTGTTACCACTGTGCAGGCTGGTGGTGGTGGTGTAATGGTGTGGGGGATGTTTTCTTGGCACACTTTAGGCCCCTTAGTGCCAATTGGGCATCATTTAAATGCCACGGCCTACCTGAGCATTGTTTCTGACCATGTCCATCCCTTTATGGCCACCATGTACCCATCCTCTGATGGCTACTTCCAGCAGGATAATGCACCATGTCACAAAGCTCCAATCATTTCAAATTGGTTTCTTGAACATGACAATGAGTTCACTGTACTAAAATGGCCCCCACAGTCACCAGATCTCAACCCAATAGAGCATCTTTGGGATGTGGTGGAAAGGGAGCTTCGTGCCCTGGATGTGCATCCCACAAATCTCCATCAACTGCAAGATGCTATCCTATCAATATGGGCCAACATTTCTAAAGAATGCTTCCAGCACCTTGTTGAATCAATGCCACGTAGAATTAAGACAGTTCTGAAGGCGAAAGGGGGTCAAACACAGTATTAGTATGGTGTTCCTAATAATCCTTTAGGAGAGTGTATATACTAGTTGGTCCTGAAACAACAGCCCTATATCAATCAATTAGATCATAGGGTTAGGGGTTTCTCCTACATTCTTATCTATCCATCATATTTCCCTCTGATTTGAAGAGAATGTTAAGCATAGGGTTAAGACTACAGTTGTTGGATAGGTCTAACCATAGATGCTGATGTCCTCCCTTGCAAAACCACCCAAGTTCGTTCTTAGCCAGATGTTGAGTTAAAATGAGTGTCTCTTACCTGCTGCATTTTCTCCAGGTCTAGGCTGGGGCGACCAGGTTCTCCTGTGTAATTGGGCCGGTGGCGCCAGTAAGGCATGGAAGGTTGTTCAAAGTGGCTGAGAATGATGGGCCGGACAGGGAGGCGGGCCGGCGTGTGTGAAGGCTTGAGCGCTCGAGGAGGAGAGGAGCTGAAGAGGACAGGACTGGGAGATGTGGCGCTCAAGCGGGCCCCGGTCGACGGTTCGTTCGGCCCACACAGGTCCTTCACCTCCTCGTCACTAGAGGCGCTGCTCATGTCTCCATGTCTGTGCCACTTCCGGCCCCCCTCTGCTCCCGGGGCTCCTGCGATGCGCTCCAGCTCCTCTTCTGAACTGTGGCGGTCCAGGGTCGGGTCCAGGAGTAAACGGAGACGGCGTAAGTGAGCCGGAGAGAGAATGCCCTGGTTGTGCTGTTGACTGGTGGCTAGAGGAGTCAAGGCACAATTCCGCCGGCGCTCTGGAAATGGGCGAAATATAGCAGAAGGTTATCAATCAGCAGAGCCTTTTTCTTCATACAGGGACAATCCAACACAGGCTCATTGGAAAAACTTTCCTGTGGCAAATTTTTTGCAAAACACGTACCAATACGTACATATCACTGCAGTTTCTAAAACAAATAAACACTAGAGGCAGTAACACAGCTAACACTTTTAATCATTTTCACACACAATTATGATTACAGAGGCAGATTATGGATTAATAAACACATATTTTCACACGGCTCCTTGAACAGGAGGGTTATCATATGTTGATGGCTATCATAGGGTAATCATATGTTATCAAAACACACTTTTTACCATAGTGCATGGCGTGTCAACTAATATATCTTGGAGTTTGCATCACTTAACCAGCTCCATATGTTCAGTTTTACTCACTTATTAAGCTTGCTCAGTAGCTCGGCTGGTACAGAACTGCACTTGTGATGCGGAGAGCTCGGGTACGAACCCCGTGAAAGACGAGTCACGATATATGAGAGCTCAAAGTTCAAAAACAAGCTAAAATGCCATGGTTTCGATTATATTTTTATGTCGCATTTGCTTTTGTTAACACTATCTGGTAGGTTTAGGGTATAGAGTAGGCGTACGTTATTTTAAAGCGTGATGGAGCATTAATCTTTTAGCGTCACTCACCGGACATTTCAATTCAGAACTGCAGTGATACGTACAAACTCCGGAAAAAAAAAACTTAACACACTTTTAGCGCCACTCACTGGACATTTCACTTTGAAACTGTCGCGAAACGTGCACGACGCAACATATTTTGCTTTTTGCTAAAATGTTGCCACAGGTACGTTTTTCGAAAGAGCCTGGGCTGGGACAATCCCATTAAGCATTCCAGGTTTGCTGTGCTTGTTTGTAAGTGCAATCAATATGGCTATAAAATATTATTAGTATTATTGCTAAATAAAAATACAAAAAAATAAAATAAGAAATATAACTATTGTAATATTTCACTGTTTACAGCCCTTTATGGGAAACTACCTCACACCACTCCATATTAGATCATCACACCAAACCATTTCTCATCGCTCTTAGCTTCTGTTATGACAGGAAGCACAGAAAGGTGTGATTAAAATGCATATGTTGTTTAGATTTTAGACTCCAGATAAAGTTTATGGTTTGGAGTTTCTAACCTAGAACCAAGTGCATGTATGTGACAGACTATTAAGGGTTCAACTAATAACTACTTTGATAATAGTTTAATCTGTAAAAACAATTCTGATTATTCTATTTATCAGATACTTTCCTTCAATGTGCAAGATGAAATATGTTGATGTGTGAAAGTGTAGAATGTTCTGGAGACACAGATTCCCTACTGTGAACATAGTAATGTTCACTTCATTTTTCAGTAATCCCATTACTGTAGATATCAAAATAGCATAGTTACATTGAATATAGGGTTTTAATTTGTTTCATTTAAAATTGTATTTTATGTTTAACAACAAATACTGTTCTCTGCTAAATGAACACTTCAACTTGCTTTCAAGAGAGAATTTTGCAAAACTGAAAAGCTTGATTTATAAGAAAATAACAGTAACTTAAAGGGGTGGTTCAGGATTTTGGACATCGGGCCTCATTTCCAAGTTAGCGAACCAAGCGAGTGTTATTTATCAGTGGAGACAGTTTTCAAAAAATGTCATCCAGTCGTTCCAGTTGCATAGTTCGCCGGTGCTAGGCTAGCGCGAGTCAACAGTAACTGCTAGCCTGCCATTAAAAACAGTTTTACCCACTCCACAGTACACCAAAAGCAAATAAATTATAACGCCAGACTATCGATGTAAATGTCTGTTGAGAGAATAATGTTAGAAATCAAACTACCCTTTCATTGCATTGCAATAGTTATACTTTGTTCCCTGTATTTATTAGCACAGTCTACAGCAGCGGCGGAGTGATATGTAGTTATCTAGGCAACCGAGAGAGGTAGGTAGAGAGAGGTAGAGAGAGGTGGTCCCGACTGTAGTGCGCTTCGGTTCTGTGTTTACTTTTCGGCGCAGTGCTACTAACCGGAGCAAAGTAAAATTCCGCCGCTGCTGAGAAACTAGTTCCTGTAAATGTATTGCGATGACTGAGATGCAAGAGTAGTTTCATTTTTAACATTATTCTCACATCTCACAGACATTTACATCGATAGTCTGGCGTTATAATTTATTTGCTTTTGGTGTACTGTGGAGTGGGTAAAACTGTTTTTAATGGCAGACTAGCAGTTACCGTTGACTCGCGCTAGCCTAGCACCGGCGAACTATGCAACTGGAACGACCGGATGACATTTTTTGAAAACTGTCTCCATTGATAAATAACACTAAGGCTAACTTGGAAATGAGGCCCGATGTCCAAAATCCTGAACCACCCCTTTAATAAATGTACTTTTCTATGTATCATATTTGATTTAATCAATTAGTTGTTGAAGCCCTCTATGCAATAGGCAAAATTAAATTAAATAAAAATACACACCTCTGTCGATCTGTGCCAACTCTTGGTTTTCGCCTTCTGAGTCTTCACTCTCCCCCCCTTCCTCACTGCCATGGTAGGAAATCTGTTTCAAAAGCAAAGCAAAGGTCAGACAAACCTGAATCGCCATGATACAAACAAGTAAACTCAGACAGTCACGTCCCACAGCTCACACAAACAAAATGGAAAGGGTTATTCGTGCATCTGTATTGGCATAAAAGTCTTGCTTATCATTTGCTATCACAACAAGAACAAGACCAGTGACTAACACTTGGGCAACTTCTTAAGAATCCTTCTATACCAAAGGGAGAGATAAACGTATGCTGTAAGTGCTGAATGTTTATTGCAAACAAACCAACCTAAACAAAGGGATTATCCATTTACTAAGAAACTCCTAATGAAAATGTGCATGGCGATCACCCATGCAAAAGTTGCCCTCATTATGCAAGGGTGTTATGGGTGGTTGCCAGACGTTGCTATGTGGTTCCTAAGGTATTCGGAGTTGTTTTTAGCAAGTTGTGCTGCGGTTTCTTGCATGTTACAAGTGGCCCCAGTGATAAAAGCACAAATCTCCATGAGAATCTGTTCACTAGATGTGCACGTCTATGGGACTTTTAGCCCATTTTGTCATCTTCCTGCTGAAAATCTTAAGACTGATTGTTTAAAAAAGTAATAGTCAATAATCTGCATGATTCATGTCACACATGGCACAAATAATGTGTGATGTTTAATACCCAGTTCAAATCTCTAACCCAAAGTATGAGCAATATTTACACTAACGATTCACAGATTTACACCTTAACTGAGATAAGAGAAGGTGTGATTAGATTATAATATGTGGTAAAGCAGAAAAGATGTGCTCACTTGTCAAATGAAACCTATTTCAATTTAACTTCAGTGTATGCATTTCTTTGTTTCCTTGTATGAGTAAAGATACGAAAGTGAGAAAAGAAGAAACAGAGCGTGAGGTTAAGAGAAGTAAAAACAACAGGCACACCCAATATTCCACAACACCAATTGCTGTGAAACTTTAGCTATGTCCCAAGTGTGTTGGTTCATTTAGAGTAGACAAGATTATTTTAAGAGCAAATCGGTTTCGAAGTCTATCAGAGAACGAAAGTATGGAACAGGGATAAAACCCAACAGATTGCACCAGTAAGGAGTTAAGTAACACAGTGCATGGTAATTACCTTGTCCAAGCCCAGCTAACCAGCTGCCATCTGTTCTCAAGTACACACACACACACACAGCCCACTTCTCTTCTCATCTCTTTCGCCTTTCACTAAGCAAACAGTGAGAGAAACTGAATGACTCAAATGTGTCACTCTTTCTCACAGGCACTAGGATCTCACGGCAGCTCAGGGCCCCCAGAAGAGCCATTTCCACTCGCTGAAATCCAGTCTCTCTCCAATCTCAAAGCCACCACAAATTACCATTCCTCTCCACCAGAACCCCTGCCAGACAGTGTCTCCGGCTGTACAAAGACACGCAATTTTCTTTTAATATATTCGAATGTATTTGGAAACTTCTGCCTATTACACGTTTCATTCTGGTGTACTACACCCCACCCTAACGATTTATGAGAAAAACTGTTTAAAGTGGATCGGACAGAGCACCATAACACACTTGTAGCCAATCAGCAGTAGGGGGCGTGTCATGGTTATGCAGTAGAAATGTGAAAAAGATTAAACGAGAGAAAAAAAATGGGCTGTTGGGTTCCATTTTGCCAAAAACACCCATAATGCACTGTAGATTTTGACACCACCCCCTTGTCGAGCCGACTGTAGTTTAATCTGTAGTTTTAACTAAAAGACCTGGAGCAGTCAAAAGTCTATCGTGTGATGCAAAATGATGCAGTTGGTGTCATCCGGGAACTTTTGCTGACAAATAAACAGGAAAATATGGAGCAGGTAACACAGAGAAAGAGTACATATTGTTAATTTACCGGCATTGTAACAATACAAACAAAGATGGTTGAAAATTTGGCGAACCTATCATTTACGAACTGGAGCTCAATGTGCACTAATATTTCTATTCGACATAAAAACTGAGAACTAGCTGAGAATATAAAACTGTCCTAACTAGGAAACAAGTTTCCAGCAAAACACAATTTGAATCCCCTTCAAGTTTTTAAACCAATTTGGCTGTTCCAAAAATGTATACTTGGTTAGGACTACAACTTCAAGGGCCTATGATAAAAGAGATGGAAACAAGGTACGCCATTCCCTCAAACAATTTTAAACTAACACTGAGGTCCATATTGTCAACACTATTTCTGTATGGCTCTGCAATGATAGCAGGAAACTGCCCAAATCCCAAAGCCAAATGACGAATGAGAAACAATTAAGTGAAGGATCATAATATATCTGTATTGACAACAAAAAAGGGATCACTGGAAAGAAAATGCCAACCGGAAATGCTTATAAACATTCCGTATAGCATTTGCAAACCTGTTTTTTTTTTATGTAATTAAGTACAAATGTATACACTCACCTAAAGGATTATTAGGAACACCTGTTCAATTTCTCATTAATGCAATTATCTAATCAACCAATCACATGGCAGTTGCTTCAATGCATTTAGGGGTGTGGTCCTGGTCAAGACAATCTCCTGAACTCCAAACTGAATGTCAGAATGGGAAAGAAAGGTGATTTAAGCAATTTTGAGCGTGGCATGGTTGTTGGTGCCAGGCGGGCCGGTCTGAGTATTTCACAATCTGCTCAGTTACTGGGATTTTCACGCACAACCATTTCTAGGGTTTACAAAGAATGGTGTGAAAAGGGAAAAACATTCAGTATGCGGCAGTCCTGTGGGCGAAAATGCCTTGTTGATGCTAGAGGTCAGAGGAGAATGGGCCGACTGATTCAAGCTGATAGAAGAGCAACTTTGACTGAAATAACCACTCGTTACAACCGAGGTATGCAGCAAAGCATTTGTGAAGCCACAACACGCACAACCTTGAGGCGGATGGGCTACAACAACAGAAGACCCCGCCGGGTACCACTCATCTCCACTACAAATAGGAAAAAAAGAGGCTACAAATTGCAAGAGCTCACCAAAATTGGACAGTTGAAGACTGGAAAAATGTTGCCTGGTCTGATGAGTCTCGATTTCTGTTGAGACATTCAGATGTTAGAGTCAGAATTTGGCGTAAACAGAATGAGAACATGGATCCATCATGCCTTGTTACCACTGTGCAGGCAGGTGGTGGTGGTGTAATGGTGTGGGGGATGTTTTCTTGGCACACTTTAGGCCCCTTAGTGCCAATTGGGCATCGTTTAAATGCCACGGCCTACCTGAGCATTGTTTCTGACCATGTCCATCCCTTTATGGCCACCATGTACCCATCATCTGATGGCTACTTCCAGCAGGATAATGCACCATGTCACAAAGCTCGAATCATTTCAAATTGGTTTCTTGAACCTGACAATGAGTTCACTGTACTAAAATGGCCCCCACAGTCACCAGATCTCAACCCAATAGAGCATCTTTGGGATGTGGTGGAACGGGAGCTTCGTGCCCTGGATGTGCATCCCACAAATCTCCATCAATATGGGCCAACATTTCTAAAGAATGCTTTCAGCACCTTGTTGAATCAATGCCACGTATAATTAAGGCAGTTCTGAAGGCGAAATGGGCTCAAACACAGTATTAGTATGGTGTTCCTAATAATCCTTTAGGTGAGTGTACATTTATATTAGGTATGATGTACATTCAACCTGTAAATATTGAAAAATAAACCTTGACATTGAGCACTTGAGTCACTCTGACAGCGTTTACTTTGTGATATGTTACATTACTGATGGTACAGTACAAGTGTTAATTAATGGCTTGGTTATGTAAAGCTGTTTTACCATGCCAATAAAGCAAATATGACTAGGAACTAAAAGCTATAGCTAACGTGTGCCTTTACTGTGCACACCGGGCCTCTTTGTGTCGTAGCTCTCTCAAGTAGGCAGAGGGTGAAACAATGCCAGCGCTACAAGCCTTGAACAACATGCTGGCAAGTGACCTTGACTTAATGGTGACAGCCAATCAATAGACCCTCAGTTTCATTATACATCCAGCCTCGCTCGAACTCACTTCAGTGTTGAGAGAAAACACCACTGATACCAAGTTGACTTGGTGGCTCTTTGCCTGCACTGAAAAAGCTCTGCAGACACAAAAGCTGCTGAAAAAGGAAACAGCAGTTCCAGTAGTACACAACAGGAAAAACAGGTCCTGTATCACTGATGGGCCAAAACATTATGACTGGTCACAGGTGAAGTGAATATCATTGAAAATCTCCTAACAAGGACACATTTTAAGCTCTGGGTAGATTAGTCAATCAGTTCTTATAATCAACATGTTGGATGCAGGAGAAATGAGCAGGAATAAAGATCTGAGTGACTTTGACAAGGGCCAAATTGTTTTGGCGAGGCGACTGGATCAGAGTATCTCTGAAACGGGTGTTGAGCACCCAAGGCTCATTGACGCACAAGGACAACAAAGGCTGTCTGGTCTGAGCCAACAGAAGGTCTACTGTGGCACAAGTCACACACAATTTTAATGATGCTTATGGAAGGAATGTGCACTCTGCTGCGTATGGAGCTGCAGACCAATCAGAGTGCCTAATGACCCCGGTCCACTGTCGAAACCACCTACAATGGGCACACAAGCGTCAGAACTGGACCTTGGAGCAGTCAAAGGTCGCCAGTCCCATTTTCTTTTACATCACGTAGACAGTCGTGAATGTGTGCACCGTTTTCCTGGGGAAGAGATGCACTGTGGAAACGGCAACAAGCCTGTGGAGGGAGTGTGAAGCTCTGGACAATGTTCTTCTGGAAAAAACCCTGGGTCCGGCCATTCATGTGGACGTAAATTTGACACGTGCCACCTACTACCTAAACACTAGCCGCTTTCCGACCGGAGGGACTTTTGCAGTTCCTAGAACCTAACGTTCCTATAACCCTTTTTTCCGCGTGTTCCGACCGGACTAAGTTGGGGATTTTTTAGTTCCTCAGACCGTAGTTCCTATAACTCTTTCAGTACCTAGTCTCGAGCGAGGACTTTTTTAGTTCCCTTTCCCTAGGTCTACGTTGATGG